AGTTATTTTTTACTAATGGAATACGAAAGGAAAATGGGCTTGGGCCGCTATAACGCGCCTTGTACGGCGGGTCTTTGCCTTGAACTGGTGGAACTAAGGAATGTCCTAAAATGATTTTCTAAGCATAGCTTAGATGTGGCACAAGGCCGGAAGTATGGGGTACCCAGTGAGGATCGAACTCACTAAGTCGTAATCGTTCTTGCAAGACAATCTTGCTAGCCATTATACCACGGTGAGGTGACCTAAACATTCTAAGCGGTGCTTAGATGTGGCACAAGGCCGAAAGAATGGAGCACTCAGTGGGAAATGAACTCACTCCTCAGTCGTAATTGTTCTAGTGAGACAAGCATGATAGTCACTACATCAGGTCGAGGTGCCCAAAGTGAGACATATATGACAGAAGGCTGATTGTATGGAGCCCCTGATGTTGGCCCAACCCCCTTCTCTTTTGTAATTGACATGCGAGACAAGTTTGCTAGCCATTACATTGAATTCCCCAGAAATAAAGTGTATAATTGAAGTAATTAGAGCCTGGATATTTGTAGAAATTTTCCCTCTAGATTTGATGGTTTCAACTGAATTTAATGAAGTGTGAGATGTGTTGAAAGTTGATGTTTTATAACCCATTCCGATTATTAACAAGAAATTAATTTGGTACTGTCACTTGTGTATAAAAAAAAAGGTAGACACAGGTTATATTTTAAGATATCTTCATTGTCCTGATTTGCACTAGAATCACAAAGGTAGACAAAGGCCCGCTTTACACGAGGTTTAAAAACATAGCCATATGCCCGTGTTACACGAGAGTCAGCGTTGTAGACATTTTGCACAATGGTAAAACATTGATTAGGTTTTCACAGGAGTCAAATAGGTCGACAAAAATGTTTCCGGTATAGCCAAAAAGGTAGACGTACGTACGATATGCGCTAATGTCAGAATAGAATGATTGATTCGTTTTTACGGTATATCGACCTTCTTAGGTTATTTAAACCAGTAATATATTTACATATGAATGTTTTGGGGGACATGATAACGATCTAGTGATACAATTCTTACTAATTAACACATAGGCGGAGAGAAGACATAGTTTCATACTTGTCCCTCGGGTATTTTTGCGTAAATAAACATAAGAAACCCCACTGAGATTAGAACACGTTTCTCCGATTAACAATTTTGAGTCATTATCCATTACACCACCCGCTGGTATTCACAATCGGTCACCCACATCTAGGTACTGACCAGGCCTGATCTTAACTTCAGTGATTGTACAGGTACCTGTGTTACAATGTCATTAAGCTAGCCTGAGAAGGACCGTCATTGGTGCATTCTACAGCGCAGGATTAAGCTATTTCTGAACCTGTAACATTTTGTGTTATTATTATTAATGCTTTTATCCTAATAGAAGTCCCAACGTCCACTGACGATGAAGGGTTACTGAATGAAGTTGTTGAAAGGTGATAACACTTAAGACGACAATTGAAGAAGTTTAGTTTGGTTAGGTTTGTTTTATCGCATGTCAAACACAATGGGTTATTTAATGCCATTTTATTTAAATATATATATAATAAAAAGTATTCTTTGTAACAAAATCCCTGTAAATCAAGTTTTATTTACTTTTTTACAAAGAAATACAGATGAATAAAAAAGTATTATTTTAATAAAATCACTGTAAATCAACTTTCATTAAATGTTTTACAAAGAAATTTACATGAATAAAAAAAGTATTCTTTTTAACAAAATCACTTTGTAAATCAAGTTTCATTAACTTTTTTACAAAGAAATACATATGAATAAAGAGTATTCTTTTTAACAAAATTACTTTGTAAATCAAGTTTCATTAACTTTTTTGCAAAGAAATTTATATGAATTAAAAGTATTCTTTTTAACAATATCACTTTTAAATGAAGTCTCATTAAATTTTTCGAAAGAAATACATATGAATAAAAAGGTATTATTTTTAACAAAATCACTTTGTAAATCAAGTTTCATTGACACTTTTGCAAAGAAAACTTCTATCGAGAAACAATTACATTGCTGTATTACATTTTCCTCAATAAAGAATTTCGGATAATATTTATTCTCTACATATCCGCTTTCCTAGTTTTATTTCTGAAGATAAAGTTTTTTTTTTATTATCAATATTCTCTCTTCGTGGATAATTCCCTTTTCTTTTAAATTTTTTTTTTAAAAACTTTTTTTTAGCGTTACTCCTTGCCATTTTATATTTTCTTTTAGAGGCCGACGACCACTTTTAGAAATGACAGCATATCATCCACATTTACCTTCTCGAACAGCTGAAACATATTATCATTATTGTAAAATTGTTGTTTTCAGATAACTAGTTCTGGACCCTCTGTCAAAGTTCGTTTCCCTCGAAAATGTGTGTCCCTAGAAACTGTGAATCTTTGAAGATATGGGCCCCTTGACCCGTATGTCGGGCCCTCGAAAATTCGTTGCTCTCGAAGTTTCATGAGCACCCTAAAAACTTGGGCACCTAGAAAATGTCGGGCGCTTGAAAACGCGGGGGTCCTTTGAAAAGGTGCAGTCCTAAAAATTATCGAGCTCTTGAAAATTTTGGACACTCGAAAATTCGTTTCCCTCGAAAATGTGTAGTCGTAGAAACTGTTGAGCCTTTGAAAATATTGGTCCTTAGACCTGTATGTCAGGCACTTGAAAATTCGTTGCTCTTGAAATTCGTTGCCCTCGTGGGGACGTCGAAAATGCAGGGACCTCGAAAATATGGGGCGCTTTAAAATACGAGGTCTCTAGATGATGTCGGGCCCTCGAAAATGCGAGTATCTCGAAAATGCAGGGACTCTTGAAAATGTCGGGCCCTAGTATCTGTCGGCCATCGAAAATGCGGGTCCTTAGTCTATGTCGGATCCTCGAAAAAGCGTGGCCACAGAAAATACCTCGCCCTCAAAAATAGGGGAACCTCGAATATGCGTGTCCCTAGAAACTGAAGATGCAAGACCCAAGAAAATGTCGGCTCCTCGAAAATGCAAATCCCACAGAATCTGTTATGTTTGCTGCTAGTTTAATCCGGGGACGTTCAGAAAAATGTGACCCTATTAAAACGCACTTATACCTTAGCCTGCAGACACCACAAATTACTTTTACAAAGTTTTTTATTCATCTGTTTATTTATTTTTTGGGGCCTGTCAATTTTTTTTCGGGTTATTTAAAGCCAGAAAATATTTTTCGATTGTAAGAATTTTTTTGTTGAGATTTACTTTTACTACCTCCATCTAATTAACCCATAGCTGAAGGGAGAAGATGTAGTTTAATACCTTTTCCATGGGTACCCCCGCGTGAGTGAAAATAACACATCCGACTGAAATTGGAATTCGGCTCTCCAGTCTCCATTTTCGAACCGTTACCCATTACTCGACCCACACATCGAAGCTTACGGCACATGGTATTTCCAAGTGGTCAACCATCTAGGTACTGAGCAGTTTACTTTAGTGATTGTACTGGAACCGGCATTTGAACATGATAGGACCGTAAGATTAATTGATAAAATCGCTATGTCAAATCCAAAAGCTAAAAGAATTCAGATGTGGGGACCAGCCTTTATTGTTTATGATCTGCACTGGTTCTCAACCGTTATGGAATTGGTAAATGTTGGTTATTCCTTTAAAAATATACCGTTACCAGATAGACATTATTATGAATTAGTTTTACTGAAGAAGATAGAATCCTTCATATATATATATATATATATATATATATATATATATATATGGGGGGTAGATTATGCCAATGTGACGGATATCCTTAGAATAAATTTTCAGATTAATAATGTGCTTCTACACATCAAGGATACTATTTGTATAGTTGAAACGTGACATTACTAATTCGGCCATAGTGATAACAACTTGTAGGTAGGTACCCACTAAAAATAACATTTACTGTAATCAGAAAAAATGAAAACAAGGAGAATGTATGCAAGTAACAGAATTTCCAAAATACTGCCATATACCCAAGGCTGATCTTTTTCGTATCTATATATTTAGTTAAACCTCCCCTGCCTTCCCTGACGATCCGCTTAGGTGAAACCTTTGTTAGGTTTGTCTGGCTCTCTAGGTTTAACTTGGTCTTCTCTACTTACTGTATTGAGCACTTTATTTAGTTATTTGCTTACTCATATCGGGGATTTTTCTTTGGGCTTTGGACTTGCATGCTAGACGATTATTTTCGGCTAACGTGCATGTTCTTGGTTCTTTCTTTTTTTCATACTTTTTTTTTTCCTTTGGTATTGGTTTGATTATTTGCAAATCAAGACACCGAAGGTTTTCCGAACCGTATAATTTCTTATACTTATAAGATTTCTATTAATAATATCTATATATGTATGTAGCATTGAAGGAATGCAGAAAGTTTTAGCATAAGATATCTATGTAATTCCGTTTATATCTATGTCAGTCTGTTCACATGTATTTATCTCCCCCCGCCTCTCTCTCTCTCTCTCTCTCACACACACACACACACACACACACACACACACACTTCCTTTCTCCTTTTGGTCGTAGAATAATGATTTCAATGGCCGGATAATTAAAGAAACAAGATGAAAAAAAACTCGTTTGAAAATTTTTTTAAAAATATTTATAATTAAACGAAGTATTTTTTTGTAGCTTCTTACCCGTGAATCTAGGGGATTAAATTAGAGTTTACCAGTTAGCTTGCATAGAAACCGAGCGATATTCGAAAATTGTAATTGTCGACTTAATACCCGGTTGTCACGGCAGTAACAACATGAGGTTTTCAAACACCCTATTTAAAATATCTCTCAAGGAGCTTCCTTCCCGGAACTGCTGCTTTTTAGAACCGACACCCCAGAGGATGCTTCCTCGATAAAGTGTGCCCCTTATTTTATAACCCTCTGACTCTAGTGTGATATAGTTATATTAAAAGTTTTTCTTCTTCTGTTTCTTTTTCTTTTCTTCTTCTTTCCTCTTCTTTTTTATTTCGTCTTCTCCTTATCTTCTTTTTTTTAGTTTTTCTTTTTCTTCTACTTTTCTTCTTTTTTTCTTCTTCTTTATTTTTTTTCCATTTTTTCTTTTCTTCTTTTTCTTTCTTTCTTCTCCTTTTCTTCTTCTGTTAGTTCTTCTTTTCTTCTTCTTTTTCATCTTTATCACTTCTTTTCTTCTTTTTTCTTCTTCTTTACTTCTTTTTCTTCCTTTTTTCTTTTCTTCTATTTCTTCTTCTTTCCTCTTCTTTTTCTTTCTTCTTCTCCTTTTCTTCTTCTGTTAGTTCTTCTTTTCTTCTTCTTTCTCATCTTTATCTCTTCTTTTCTTCTTTTTTCTTCTTCTTTACTTCTTTTTCTTCCATTTTTCTTTTCTTCTTCTTTTTTCTTTTTTCATTTCCTTCTTCTTTTCTTCTTTTTCTTATTTTTCTTTACTTCTTTTTCTTATTATTATCTTTTTGTTCTTTTTCATTTCTTGTTCTTTTTTCTTCTTTTTCTTCTATCTCTTCTTCTTCTTCTTCTTCTTCTTCTTCTTCTTCTTCTTCTTCTTCTTCTTCTTCTTCTTCTTCTAACCGATACTGGTTCATAAATTTGGCCCTTTTTCTCCCCACTCCCGCTAATTTTCGTCGAAATTTTTCTACTTCTTCTATATGATCCGTCTATTCAATCAGAGAACGATGATAATGGCTCTCTACAACTTCCTATTTTTTGTAGCTCTAAGCAAAATAATAATAATAATAATAAGGTAGCACATGTGAAAATCAACAATCCCTGTTGTAGTTGGATCCCTCGCATTGTTTGGAAAAGATTATGCAGACTCATTGAAGGGATTCCTGTATGCCCATGTCTTAAAGAAATACAAAAAATTGTTTTCACAATAACAGCCCACACCTTACGAAGGGCTTTCTCTATGTAAAATATGTGTGTGTGTTTCTTTTTTGGTCAGTGGAAAATGTCATGATACTATTTCTAACCTTAGGTCTCTAGGAAAGAAATGTTTACATACCAGAAATCAAAGAAAATGAAATAATAACAATAGGTTCTGATAGACTCATTGTCGGGATTCCTGGTCGCCCATGCTTTAAAGGAATACGACGTTGCTTAACTTCGATGATCGTATGGAAAACGGTGTTTCAACGTAATGTGGTCGTAGGACATAGAAAAGAAAATACCATAAATGACTCTGTGGAATTCGATAGCAAAAAGGACGAATAGTGAGGAGAAAGAACAAAAAAATGGAGGTTCTCTTGGTGATGCCAACGAGAACGAAAGAAAAAAATCATGTGACACGAATAAAGATAAACTAACGACAGAATAAGCCATGAGAGCCAAATTTTACCGACTAAAAGAGATAAAAAAATATCCAGAAATTAAAAGAAATATCGGAGAAAGTTTGAAAAAAGAAAAAAAAGATCAAAACATTCCCTTTATTTTTCAACTCTCGTCTAAATCAACAAATCGAACGAATTTAATACAACTTCGGTTCGGCTTTTGATTCGCATTTCAATAGCACCTAACGACGTCTGGCTTGAAATATCGGCGGTTTTGTCGGAATCGCTCAAGAGACACTTCGACGTATCACGTTAACGATTCCCCTGATCCAGAGGCACGAGGTGTGGGGTTGAGGCTGTTTTCATTGTCGCCGTTTATCTGAAACAGTTTCAAACTTTAAAGTAAACAAATAAGTAGATGAATTTTCTGTTCAATATTTCATCAAAGTAATACCACACTTCTTCTTCATTCATGTGCCGTGTCCCTTCAAAACATGGCCGACCGTATCTCTCCACAACTTCCTGTCCTTTGTATCTCTAAGCAATGTTTGTCTCTTTAATATTCTTTTCTAAACCTATTTTGCCATCCATCTACAGGAGCTGGCTGGGTTAAACTCTTACTTTTAAACGTTTACTTTTAGTTTTTCTCCCCGGAGTCGATCCTCCAGATCTACAAATCAACAATTCGCCCTTGCATGGAGTATTGCTGCCATATATGGTCTGGTGCCCCTTCTGTTTGCCTCGGGGTTCTTGATAAATTCCAGAGACGGATATGCAATGTAATTGGCCCTGATCTGGCATCTCGTCGACAGTCACTTTCTCACAGAGGAGCCGTCGCCTCACTCTGTCTGTTCTACAAACACGTTCATGGAAATTGTTCCGAAGAGCTGCATTCGCTGGTTCCCAGACGTCATGAGTTCCAGCGCCATACGAGGCTGGCATCCCGCTCTCACCCCTTCACTGTCGAAACTCTTAAATGTAGCCGTCTCCTCTACTCTAATAGCTTCATGTCTCGAACCTCTCGTCTGTGGAACTCCCTTTCCTATTCCTGTTTCCCTGTGAGCTATAATCTCCAGCTATTCAAGTGTAATGTCAATCGACATCTCTAGTTGCCTTCATCTATCCACTACCCTTATCCTTTCTCCTATCTGATCTTGCTCTAAACTTTCTGTAACCCCTTGCGTCCTAGTGGCTTCCCGCCTTGCTTGGGGTGAAATGCTTAAAAAAAAATATCCTATGTTTTCAAGAAATATTTCCTCGTTATATGTCACTGAAATTGCAAATGTCTAGTCTGATTCTAAGGAACTTAAGAATGCGCCCCTTTCTGTTCCAATTTCCTCTACACGCTTGTTCAGCCTATAATGATTTTCTAAGCGTAGATTATATGTAGCACAATAGCAAAAGTATGGGACACCAAGTGAGAATCGAATTCCTTACTCAGTCATAACCTTTCTAGCGAGACAAGCTTGCTAACCATTATATCACGGTATTTACCAAACGTCTCCACGAGGTGGGATGCGGCACAAGTCCAGTTTTTATGTGGGGCGAATCCGAGCTCTTGGGCTTGGGCATAAATTCCCTGTAGACCCGGCAAGCACGAGGTCGGGTTTTTCTACCTCCCCACATGATACTCTGCCATTTCCCACAGCCTCATTGGAGTTCCTCTCTGCCAGAAAGCTGAGTGTTCGACAAGATCTAAGAACTCCGCGGGCGGTTCGCTCTCTAAAATAATCCTTTTATAAGCGTAGCTTAAATGTGGCCTAATATCGTAAGTATTGTGCACCCAATGAGAATCGAACTCGCTACTCAGTCTTAATTGTTCTCTCGAGACAAGCTTGTTGACCATCATACCACATCGGGATGACCAAGGATTTTCTACGCGAGAGCTTAAATGTGGTACAAGATCGAAAGTACGGAGCATCAGTGAGGATCGAACTCACCACTCAGTCATAACTGTTCTCGTGAGACAAGCTTGCTGACCATTAAACCACTTCGATGTGCCCCACGCTTGTTCCGTCTATGGTAATGGTTCTTAGCCTTTTTTGAGTCAGGGGACCCAAGAGTCACGGACTCCTTAGGAACAGGCCCTTCATAGAAAGACATGCAGACAGACTGATATTCACAAGACTTCCACGTTTATTTGTCCATATTGTACCCTCATGCACACTTTTTAGGCTTGAAAGAAATTGCGTCCAATTGATATTCACCAGTTTTTTGAGATGATAATGCGTGATGAAACGTGGGAAATGTGAATTATCACTTTCTCTTGTGGAATGGGAAACGATTGTGGTCTTGTTTATTTCTGACAAGTTTCGACTTTCGGGACTTCATCAGAACGCGTCACAAGTAAACTTTTTCCACTTCGTCATACACTTTCCACAACAGTATTCTTTATATATTAAAAATATATATCGTTCTCTTTCATATATATATATTTTAAATAAAACAACAGACCTCTTTAAGGTTCCATGTAATAAATTATTTCACCACAGCCCTTTTAAAGGACTGCGGATCATCAGACTTTACTTCCAAAGGTGGAAACAATATTTATTCGAAAATTATAGCATAAATATGTTATAAAATCACTAAGAATAGCCATTTTGTTTCAACACTTCTGGTGTCTTATCGAGTGATGGTTTCGAATGTAGAATAAAGGATTTTCTACTCTGTATCTTTTAAGAATAGTATTTTTGGCGTATTGGAATTTATTCCGTATGCTTTAATCCTATACTTATGTATATATATATACACATAGTGAGCCAGACAAACCTACCTAGGTTTCACCTAAACGGATCGTCAGGGAAACTAAGGCCTTACTTTCCCTGACGATACGCTTAGGTGAAACCTGGGTAGGTTTCTCTGGCTCACTAAGTTTATCTAGGTCTGCTCTACGGTTGTATTGAGCGCTTTTGTTAGTTAGTTGTTTACTCGTATCGGGGTTTTTTCTTTGGGCTTCAAACCTGTATCTGTGCGATTTTTTTGTCGGCAGAAGTTCATGTTTGTAGCACTTTCTTTTTTTAAAACCATTTTTTCCCTCGAGATTGATTTGATTATTAGCAAATCAAAAATTCGAGGGTTTTTCCAAACGAGTCTAGTTATCTATAATTATATATATATATATATATATATATATATATATATATATATATATATATATATATATATATATATATATATTTATTCGAAAATTATAACATGAATATAAAGAGAAAATCACTACAAAAATAGCATTTTCTTTCAAGACTTCTGGTATCTTATCAACTGATTGTTCTACATCATCACTTGAAAAGACACTAAAAGTGTTGAAACAATGTGGCTATTTTTGTAGTGATTTTATAACAAATTTGTGTTATAATTTTCGAATAAATTACATTTGATCTACTTTGTATTGAACACTCTTTTAAGAATAGTATTTTTTGGTTATTGCAATATATACACAAATCCAATACTTATATATATATATATATACGAGTGTATGACAACGATACTATCATAAAATGTGACCAAAAGAGGTTTAGTTTTAAACGTACTACCTCTTGCATATCCCTTCTATCGCTGTGGCAGTGCTTGTATCCCATTGGTGAAGAAGCTAAAACCGTTGGAACTAAGGAATGCATGCCTCATCTTAACATTTTCGATCGAGACAGCGATAGAATAGCGAGAGACTTGTAGAGTTTTGTGTGCAGGAAGTTGGTTTTGGGGTTGAAAATAATTCATCACTCACAAGGACGCGGAGACGCTTTTGGTCTCATAAATTTGAATTGTTTTTTCTTTGTTTTTTTTTAATTTTTTATACCTTTAATTAACTTTCTATACCCAGTGTAATTTTATTCCAGTCCAAGAAAATTCGGACAAAAAACCTCAAAATTAAAAAAAAATATTACCAATGAAAAAGAATAACAATGAAAATGACGGAGAATGCTTCATATGTAATATAAATTAAGATAATATTTAATACTTGTATGTACAAAGTGCGGGTAACCTATAATAAAAGTGAAGCAAAAGGCCGGACACCATTAATGTTCAGACGGAAGACAGTGTTGGATTCATCGATACAACGCTGCCATAAGACGGAGAGTTAATATAGACGGAAAAAGGGAAAGTATAAATGTATCAAGATTTGAGACGTGAGATATCATACACGTGGGGTGTGGTCTGAAGGGGAATTTGTTCCTGTTTTTGAGAGTGACTTTTTAACTGTGACAGGCTAAATCCAAAAATGGCAGTTTAAAATTGGAAATTTGATTCGATCTGTGATTCTTCAAAAACGAAAAAAAAACACAAAGCTTGTGACAGCCAGAATTCTGAGAATGGTTTT